GTATATATATATCTATACATACAACTATACACACACACACACACACACACACACACACGCACACACACACACACACACATATATATATATATAATATACAGAAAAAACTTGCACATATGCATACCTCACGGTGTCCAATCTCATGGGCATTTTGTGGGCGCACTCGCACGGCGACCTTAAAATTCCTTGCGTCTGGAGAGGTTGTTTTGAACCCTCCTTTAGTAGGGGTGGACAACACATCCCGACCCCCGGTTAGCATGGCACACATCACTGCGGTGAGCGCTCAAAGGCTTCATGTAGTGTATATAAGATACTTCATATACTGGTCATACACTCATATGCTACCTAACGACTGCTTTTACGTTAATGTTTAGCGCGAAGTATGGAAAATAACCAACGAATAGAGTATTCAGAGACGCATGTGTTGAATTAGTATAGCAGATATCCCTGACCGTGTGAACTATCCCACGTGAACTACGACAAACATCACCGACTTCTCATGCTAGAATGGCATGGCATTCACAACAACTCATCAATAGCAGATAATGACTCGTGGATTTCACTTTAAACTCTGCTATTTACTATATAACTAATATCTATTTACTCTTAGGCATTGACACGTCTACTCGACTACTGCTACTACTTTTTATTTTGAATACCTATGCACTATTCATTTATTTACACAATATTACTATCCACAACATAAACAATGATAACATGAGATGGTATGTATTTAGTGAATATGTATTACGTAACGAGTTAGAGCAGATGCTGTCAGCAGTCTCATCAGGCCCTCAGAGTCTCAGCAGTGACTTTCATTTTATATTTATTATTATTTGGTTTTTGGTCGTCAGAGCATCAACGGACAATCGCGCCTTTTTCCACCAATGAAACCGTTTCGTAGTTACGGTAATCTCAGATTACGCCGGCCGGCTAACGCCTATTCGTTTTGCACACCCCTTGCTGCAGTAGACGTTTAGCGGAAACGCAAAAACGTTTAAACGCTTTTTTCAAAAACGTAGAAAAGATACTCTGCTCACTCTCTTGGTACTAGTCTCTGAGCGGATATACGTTAATATAAACATAAAAGTTTATTTATTCAAAAAGCGGTTTATTTAGTGGTGAGGTATTTTAGCTCTGTATTTTATGGGTCTATTTTTTAGAGGGGGCTATACTTTGATATTACGGCTCACGGCTGTTTCCAGTTTCGTAGACCTCCTCGATATGTTGTAAATGTCTGTGGCTTGCTTTCGAGTCAAAATCTGACTTATCACTTTAACAAGTAGTCTCCTGTGATTATAAATACATAGTGTGTCATATTTTCTTTGATTTCATCGCATCGTTCGGCACGCTCTACCAGAGCCATAGAAGCGATTGTGATAGAGAAACACCGTTGAAAGGCACCTTCCATACAATACAACCGTATGAACACCCGAAATTTCCTTTCCACACGTGCAGTCCATACAGTAAACAATTAACAAAGTCAGAATGAGCAGTACACAGGAGTCTGTCGCCGCTGAACAACCAAATTCGTCTGCCGTCACTCCCACCAGTGCATCTCGTACCGTATCCACAATAGACAATCCCGAGGAGGTGAGTATTGAAGAGTTTTTAGTCTGTCTTTCAGCAGCGATCGATACTCAATTGTGCAATTATATGTGCACGCGGTTGCATGTAGATTTGATTTATTGATTGTACCCATAACTCTAGTTTTATATATATATATATATATACGACACACACACACACACACACACACACACACACACACACACACACACACACACACACACACACACACACACACAANATATATATATATATATATATATATATATATATTATATATATATATACACGTACGGTGTATGATATATATATATATATATATATATATGTGTGTGTGTTTGTGTGTGTGTGCGTGTTTAAATATACGACGTTGTTTCTATTCTTCTGATGTCCACATAGGATCGTTTGAATGCCCACGCCTATCATTTTCTATTTCTCGGCAATCGACTTGTTTATAGTATTTTGCTGTAAAAGTTCCTGTGACTGGAGGTAGCGTGTCTGCCATGCCATGTTCTTCGTTTTCAATCTAGCAACAACTGCCTAGATGCAACTGGAAAATCAAATTATGCAACTCTTTGAATATATACATCGTAGATATTCGAAGTGTGTGTGTGTGTGTGTGTGTGTGTGTGTGTATGTGTGTGAACTCATTCAATCTATCTCTGCGCTGAGCACTAATACAGGACATACCCATGCCTCGTTTACTATTAAATATCGCCCTTATCGCCCTGAAGACCCATACACATGTTGATTGACCCTCTTTCTCGCCAGCCTAAGATATATAGTTTTGACAACAGGGTATTCAACAGCGTATGCTATCGTTTTCTTCGAATCTTCAACTAATATTAGTTGATCTGATATCCCTGTATTCTGAATAGGTAGCAACCGATGTCCCCCACACAACTGACGAAATCGCCACCGCCTATCCCGCTTTGGCCGATGTTGCGGATGTACCAGTAGCAGCCCCTACCGAAACCGGTCAGAATGGTTCTGTTCCTAGTAGTAGTTCACCCACTACCGCTGCAATAGAAGGAGACAAGGATGAGTCTGTACTCACAGATACAGGGTCAGTCGACGATATCACAACCGAGGCGTCAAGTCCCCGGGGTATGAACACGGGCGATGCCAGCATGAAACCCTCCGAGGGCATCGGCATGTCTGGGGACGATAGTGATCTTATCATAGCGGAGATGAAGTCTGAAGAACCCGAATCACCCACTATGTCTAACCCTTCGCTTGTCGAGGTCATGGCAACTGCTTCAACAGCAGGCACGGCTAGAGATGCCACAGGCGTGGATGAGAACGCGTCTGATATTGATACTTCCTCGCAGATCGGGCTGATGCGCGATGCTATGCCGAGTGGTGGTAGTGAGACCGACGCAGCAACAGATACGGTTGAAGGTACGGTTGATACAGAGAACGCTGTTGAATTGGCTACAGGCGGCGGTGCTATACTTTTTAACGCTCAGCTACTCAATGCCAACGAGGACATGAATGCTAATGAACTCGGGTCCAATATGGCCAACAAGAGCCTCGCTATGAATCCCAGTACGACGGAGTCGGGTATATACCCTGTGATAACCCCAGGAGCAGACAGTACTACAGCCTCGCAGTTGGGCTCGGACACGGTTGTGATTGCATCCACGACCTCCACTGTAGTGGCATATGGGGTTGTGTGTGCAAGGGGCAGCGACGCATCAAACACATCCGATGTGGTATGGTACAAATGCCCAATGGCTAGCGGTTGTAGGTGCCAGTTGTTGTATATAGACAAGAGTCGACTGGTTTGAGTGTATGAGTGTCTGATGTTACATGTAGACAATTGCGGTGTAGTGGCAGCATGGGAACATCAACCCTGCTGTGAGTCGCATTGTGCTGCGAGTAGCTGAGGTTTTATGGTGCAGTAGGGTTTCTGTGGTGTTTTAGGAGTTCTTCAGTATGCAGTTTTGTTGTGAGTAGCCGAGGTTTCATGATGTATTTTAGGGGCCAGTGGTGTTTTAGAAGTGTATTAGATTGATGCTTTGTTTAGGCCTTGTGTTTGCGATGTGTTGTTGTATGTGTCCAGGTGAAATGATTTTATGGTGATTCCAAGATTTCTGCCATTCCTGATTTCTGGTGCAACTCCAGAAATTGTCTGACCGCAAACATCCACACAGCCTAGTGACTCACTTCGCTCGTACTTAAACGTTAACTCCTGTAACGTTCTGTTTGATCATGTACAGGGCTGCACAAGCAGCATTTGTAGGCAAGGATACAACCCCAGAAATGGCACATCGCATTCATCCACACGAATCTATCCACCCACATCACTCATACTTGCACTCACACTCGCAATAGAGTATGTGCTGGATCTTTTATGTACAGGACAGGACAGCCAGCGCGATCGGCAACAGTATCCCTTCAGTCATACTGGATCACATTCATCCACACTACTTTGTCTACTTACAAACCTTATCCCACACAAACCCATACTCACACACCCAACACACACACGTGCACCTTCCGGCACCTCTATGAGCAGGGCAGTACAGGCTCCGTGATTGATAAAGGTGCCACACTAGATTTGGTGGACCGCTCGGGCTCAGGTATCTCTCAACGAGCCATGGCTCTGGCGGGCGGGAGGGCGGCCTCGGGTATAGAGAATGCCGACGACTTGGCCCGCAGTCATGTGTCGTATAGAGACCAAGTGCCTGTGGTGGTGCCTGGTGATGAGGATGCGGAAGCGTACAAGAAGAGCCTGCACCTGCTCAGTCAGGCGAGGAAGCGACATACGCTGCAGTCATTGCATGCTGTCCAGCTGACGGGCGTTCTGCCTGTCACCAAGGTTAGTGGGTGTGTGCGTGGGTGTGCGTGTGTGCGTGTGTGCATGTGTGAGAGAGAGCGTGTGTGCGTGTGTGCATGTGTGTGTGTGTAAGAGAGAGCGTGTGTGCGTGTGTGTGTGTACAACAGTGCAACAGTATGTATTTATAATTCCATCAAGAAGTGAACGAACGTTCGCACGTACAAACGCGTGAGAAGCTCGGAACTCGGAATATAAACTGAGCGAAGTGTGTATATCTCGGTGTATGTGCTGGCACTGTGTCGGTGGGCGTATTACCCAATTGCAAAGCCTCTATGTCAACCTGGTTGCGGAACTAGTTCATCATTGTAGACCTTAAGACCCCTCGGCGTATGGGATGGGTATATGGGCATGTACGGCGGGACGATCACTAAGTAAACGTAGGATACATATGTATGTGCCTGTGTCGAACGGGATTCTTTACCGGGTAATTCCGTGTGCCATGAAACCTGTTTCAAACATGTGTTTCACACAAAACCACCAGCTGTCGCGCATATACACAGCAACGAACGATCAGACGTACAAAAGTAGTCACAAGATACGCGCACGTGGAAGCGCACGCGAAAATAAAACAGTGACATACTTTTGACCTTTTATGGTATGTAAATTCCCAGAAGGGTTCCACCCCCATTTTACCCCGTCATGAACGCAGCAATTGCAAAAACTACTCGACCAGGCGCACAGGAGCAGCCAGAGGAAACCGGCCTGTGTCGATATATACGCACAACCCGGTGATATGAAATTTTATTCAAGGTTGATATATTCCATAGAAGTTTTTAACTCAAGATTGTATATAATATTTCGTCGCCTATACAGCAATTGCAAAAGACGGTCGACCAGGCGCAGAAGAGCAGCCAGAAGATACAGGCCCGTATGGAGAAGCACGCGCTCGCAGAGGCCAAACAACGCGACGACGAAATCACCGCACTCGAGAAACGGCTGAACAAGGCTCTGACGTACTTTAGCAAGCAGATGTATGCCGACGAGGCTGCCAAGGGAGTGGCGGGGGAATCTCGTACACTGGAGGAGATTGAGATAGAGACACGGCGTATCAAGTGGCCGCAGATCAGCGAGTACGATCGGTTGCTGAGCCACAGGCACCTGGAGGATATGAAGGTGTGCATTCGTATTGTATCGGCCTGTGCTGGTGTTTGTTGCGGCTATAGGTTAGGCTTGGAAGGTTTGTGTCTGTTGTTTTGTGGGCTGTTATTTGAGTGATTTATAGTGTCTGCTGATCACACAATGGTGTGTATTTGTATTGTATCACCCTATACTGTTGTTTGTTTTCGGCTATAGGTTAGGCTTGGAAGGTTTGTGTCTGTTGTTTTGTGGGCTGTTATTTGGGTGATTTATAGTGTCTGCTGATCACACAATGGTGTGTATTTGTATTGTATCACCCTATACTGTTGTTTGTTTTCGGCTATAGGTTAGGCTTGGAAGGTTTTAGGCTTGGAAGGTTTTGTGTTGTGGGCTGTTATTTGAGTGATTTATAGTGTCTCCTGATCACACAATGGTGTGTATTCATATTATATCACCCTATGCTGTTGTTTGTTTTTTGGGCTTGGAAGGGTTGTATCTGTTGTGTTGTGGGCACTTATTTGAGTGATTTATAGTGTCTCCTAATCACACAATGGTGTGTATTCATATTATATCACCCTATGCTGTTGTTTGTTTTTGGCTATAGGTTGGGCTTGGAAGGGTTGTATCTGTTGTGCTGTGGGCACTTATTTGAGTGATTTATAGTGTCTCCTAATCACACAATGGTGTGTATTCGTATTCTATCACCCTATGCTGTTGTCTGTTCTTGGCTTTAGGTTAGGCCTGGAAGGTTTGTCTCTCTTGTATGTTGCAGGCTGTTATTTGAGCGATTTATAGTGTCTACTGAGGACATAAAAGTGTGTGTTTGCATCGTCTTGGGCTGTTATTTGAGCGATTTATAGTGTTATTTGAAGACAAAAGTGTGTGTTTGCATCGTCTTGGGCTGTTATTCGGGTGAGCGTATGTCACGTGTTACCTGCTGGAATCGATGACTGGGCTGACGGCCCTTTCATTGAAGTGTAGTTCGAATTTAACCCTAACTTCTAAACCCATAGTCTTATTCCGGATTTTAACCCAAAAATTGGTTCTCCTCCCGCAGTTTCTGTACCGTGTGCGACTGCTGGACTACACATCCGTCTACGAGCAAGTGCACGCGTCCGAATGGCATGAAGTGGACAAGATCGAAGACCGGGAGTGGAATGACCTGGACAAAGAGTGCAACCTGAACCTCAAGGCCCTCGAGAAGGACTTGAGTTGGGGTTTGATGTCCAAGATAACGGGCAAGAAGACAGTGGATGGTGTGAAGCTGACACGCGCCGAATTGGAGACGGCCGCGGAGGAGAAGAAGAACCATTTGACCGCGCAACAGGAGGTACGGTGTGACGAGTTACGGGAGATGCAGAAGAGCAGGTGTACAAAGCTGGCCGAGGGACAGGAGAAGACGGTGCAGGATCTGGTGATCACGCAGACGGAGGCGATGAAGAGCTTGGCGGTGGACACTATAGTGTAACGTTTCAGGGATACGGACCGAGGTCACAGTAGTCGCAACAGGGGTCAAGGTGTGACGATGCAAGGGCGATACACAAGAGCACAAGTGCACAGCTGGCGGAGGGACAGAGGGGTTTGTGTGTGGGTTGGTTAACACGCTGACGAGATGATGAAGGCTTTGGCGGTGGACACTACAGTGTATTGGTGTGGGGGTAAGGATCAAGGTCATGGTAATCGCGCAGGGGCTACGGTGTGGCGAGTTACGGGACATGCAGAAGGGCAGGCGGGCCTAGCTGGCGGAGGGTCAGGGGTTGGTTGTACAGGGTACAGGGTTTAATGATCAGGCAGTGATGACCCTGACGGTGGACCCTAAGGTGCGAAGTTGTAGAGGTAAGGTTATGGTAATCGCAGCAGGAGTTACGGTGTGGTGAATGGATGGCGATGGAGAAAGGCAAGCGTGTACAGCTGACGGAGGTTCAGGAGGACTGATAAGAGTTGATAAAAGCGCAGCTGGAAATGATGAAGAATTTAACCGTGGACACTATAGTTAAACTGCGGTTTGTCACTGACAAGAAGCCGAGCACTTCATTGACAAGTATCAACACACAACAACCACACACTTACACACACCACACATGTATTCTATCCTTTTACCTGTGAACATCAATTCCGGCTCAGACTGTCAGCCTACGAGCTGTGGATACATGTATGTGTGGCACGTCAGTATCCGACAAAGCTACACGTGGACACTACAATACATCAGATATACACGAGCGACCACGAACTTCATACAAATTATTGACGGGTTGTGGGAGCATGTGCGATGTACTGACGCTCCCACGTGGCTGGACAGAAGAGCGTTGCCGTATACTGCACACCCCGCCTATGCCTTTGGCACAGTGTCACTGGTGTTGAAGCAGCATTGTGGGCCGATTCGCGGCCGCTCCAAAATGGAGATCTGATCGCCCGCCCGAAGTATCGGTGGAGTGTATGAGTATACATGCACATGTGAGTATATATGCACGTGTACCAATCTGCCAACTTTGTCCGCACAGCTGCAAGCGTATGAACCGCCAAGCGTGACCCCCCCCCCCCCCACCACACAGACCCCACCTGCCGTTATCGTATGAGAAGTGCTTTGCAAACATCCGCGCACTCATCTCAGCACAAATCGTGTGAGATTAGATTCGTGCGTCCAGCGTTTAGCATTGGGCATCAGACGTATGGAGGATATCGAGACAATTTGAGACATAAGCTGCAGCGGTGTGCGTGGGGCCGGGTTTGCTTGGTCTATGGCCTACCTATCTGGGCTTCAGCGCACCGATCCTGGATGGGTGCTGCTGGGTTGGGCGCGTGCACAAGTGTGTGATAGTACCCGTGGTGCAATCGTGCGTGTACGCTCACCCGTCGCCTGCCACTGTACGTCGAGTGCACAGAGACGTGCGCGTGGTACCTTTTTCTCCACTTAAACACCACACTTCTGTGGATGTGATCGTCTACAGCCTCGGGACGCCAGTGTTCTCGTGCATCGCACATGCCAATCTCTAGCAATAGACAAATTTGCGTATTTTTCCTCGAAAACTGTATGTGGGCTGTGGTTCCGTTTCGAGAGCACTTGCATTTGTTTTTCCTTATGAATTGAAACTCATGATTCGTCCGAAGACCTAAACCCCTTGAGGCACAAGTCCTTGTGAGTGTATCACCGAACGCGTGCGCAGCCCCAGTAGCGACACACACCAATATGCAAGGAAATATGTAGTGGTCAACTGATTCTTAGACATGGAAAGGTGACAGTATAAGCTGAGATTCTACGCGAGAGTGGCGGGAGACCTCGCCGAGTGTGCGGCACACACCCACATGTACGGAAGTATGTAGTGGCGTACGGATTGTTAGAAATGAAAAGGTGACAATAAAAACTCAGATACTACACGAGCGAACGAGCGTGGCGGGAGACGTCATTGAATTGAATGCGTGGCAAAAGGCCATGCACATGGTATGTCGTAGCATACCGATTGTTGGCATTGAGAACCTGATATCGAACATACTGAAATACCAATATATATATATATATTATATGTGGGTTTTCTTTATACTAAATTCTTCCCCGACACCTCTTGGTCAGAGCCACCGCATTACCTCTGTAACAAGACTATGTCTAGCCGCATATTGTCACCACCACAGGCAGCTTATGCTTAACCTTGGGCTTAATCATATGTGCGTGCGTACGGTTTGTACCTTCCGCCTTTTGAAGGCGTCCTTGTCTCCGTGGGTACGTTTTCTATAAATTCCTCATGCTGACAAACTACATCTCGCCGCACTGTGTCACCACCACAGGCAGCTTGGGCTTGTCCCTAATTCCCGTAGGTACGTTTTCTATTTTTCGTAGCGTTAAAAGCCCGTCCACCAGTTTACCTACAACAACCAGAGCAGATAGGGGTGATGGGTGAGCCGAAATAGCACAAGTGTGTGCAGATGTTGGTCATCTTGTACGTGTTTATTGACATCGTCGAAAAAGAACAGCAAACCCATACAACTGTCACATATACTGTGATATGTGCTTGCGTAGTAACTCATTCGGAATTAGTGAACAAGTGTTTTAGTGGTCAAACATTGTCTCAATGCGATTTAAATCGCGATCGCTACCTAGTCCAACATATAATACACACGAGAAAGAGTGTTTCCAAACTATCACATCTACATTCGGTCTATGCTTTCTATTTTATCTAGTTAAAACGTTAACGCACACGTCGTAGCAAAATAAATAAATACGTCCATACTCGCATCAAGTAAGAGTCCATCGGTTGGCACACACGGCGAAGTGCACATACAGTTCATACTTGCCATTATTACAAACCGAATTTCAAAAAGGTGCCAGATTGCACAAACAGCCCATGCTGCCTCAGAATGCTACGATGCCGAAAACCACGAATTTTTTTGCACTTCAATTCATATAAAGCAAGTACATCATACACACTACAATAAATAATCATATACACACTACAATAAATAATCATATACATTACAATAAATAATCATATACATTACTATAAATAATCATATACATTACTATAAATAATCATATACACTACAATAAATAATCATATACATTACTATAAATAATCATATACATTACAATAAATAATCATATACATTACAATAAATAATCATATACATTACAATAAATAATCATATACATTACTATAAATAAACATATACATTACAATAAATAACTATAAACACTACTATAAATAATCATATACATTACAATAAATAATCATATACACTACAATAAATAATCATATACATTACTATAAATAATCATATACATTACAATAAATAATCATATACATTACAATAAATAATCATATACACTACAATAAATAATCATATACATTACAATAAATAATCATATACGTTACAATAAATAATCATATACATTACTATAAATAATGATATACACTACAATAAATAATCATACACACTACAATAAATAATCATATACATTACAATAAATAACTATATACACAACTATAAATAATCATATACATTACTATAAATAATCATATACACTACAATAAATAATCATATACACTACAATAAATAATCATATACATTACAATAAATAATCATATACATTACTATAAATAA